TTTGACTCTATTTAACATTAGAAGATTATGAGGAAAAAAAATTAGCTTTATTCAATATGACAAGCGTATAGCAGGAATTCATGCATAAGTTCTTACTAAATTAATTCCAAAAATGTACTTTGTTAAATAAAAAAAAAAAGATAATGTGTGTTACACATTGTACGTATTATTGTCGAAAAATACGCTCTTTTTGTGCTGTACTTAGAGTAATTAGTGTAGGAGAATGTGCGTCACACATTATACCTATTACTTTTTGTGATACTTAGTCACAAAGTTTATTTCTCATGATTACTAAAAATAAAAGAGATATTAAGTATGTAAAGTGTTGTACTACGACTAAGAGTGCGTTTGATAAAATTGAAATTTGAAAATTGAAATTTAAAGTTTGAAATCTAAAATCTAAATCTATTAAAATGTTGAATTGTTAAGTATTAAATCTGATACATTTGAGTATATATCACATTTAAGTAATAAATGAATAACTTGTCATTTATTTTTAGGAGCAAGTTTTTCCTAGAAAATTTAGTGCTATTTAATTAATTTAGATATTCAATTTTTCGTTATCAAACGCGTGTTAACATGTGCAGATCTAATTCATTAAGTTTAAGTGCTGAATTGGATAATTAAAACAAAGCCTGATTTTTTTCTTCAACGAAACAAATAAAAAAACTTTTGTACAAACTTTAATTGATTTTCAATCTTATTGAAAATCATAGATTATCAATATCAAACCAAATTAAAATTAAGAAGATAAACTACTCACATCAAACTCCCTATACAAATACCTCCAAAAATTTAATGAAATTTTAACGACTTGACAACTACTTTTTTGAGTTTGGTAGATCCATATATTGAATATTCAAAGTGAAAGCATTAAGAGGAAAATGAAGGATATGATTCTATTCAAGTAAAAAGAGAAAAGCTCCTAGTTAACAAGTTCAGAATTGGCGTGCGTGAAATGTGGATATAAAATTAAGTTCAATTTCACTCTATATGGATAGTAAGTGAGTATAGGGGCATAAAGGGTCAAACCTGTTGGGAGCATCATGACGCAATTATTAAGGACTTAAACTTGCTCGATTGTGTAGACTATCAAATAAAGTCATAAAATAAGCAAAATAAACCATACCATGAAAACAGTAAAAACAGGCCAAGAAAAGGTGGAATCAACTAACCCAAGGCTCTGGGGGTATAGAATTCATATCCTCAGCATAATCGAGAATCAAATGACCTGGGTCTCACCAATGGCTAGTCTCGCTCAGGGTCATTTCCAATGGTAACTGAGACTCGCCCCCGGCATTACCAATCCTAAAGTCCCCCTACTTTCGTGGTGAGATCCACTGTAAATGGTGCATCTATTTCATAAAATGCAAAGCAAATACCTAATTAAGTGTATCGCTACTTTGGTGTATTTACTCCTTTGATTTCATTTATTTCCTTTCTATCAATGAATTGCCAATTTTTTTGCCTATACATCAACTAGTGTGACCTAAGGTTTGTGATCAAGCAACCCTAAGTGTTAAAGCCAAATAAATAAATAAGTCAAGCACAATGCATCAATGAGATTAACCATCATCAACCACAATCATAACTCAAGTGTTTCATCAGTCTCCAAGCAAAAGATTAGCTGGACGTAATGAATATATATACAAAAATAAGCACAAGTTACGGTGAATTCTACAAAATGGTGAAACCGTTTCTAATATTTTTGTGGTAAAGTTAAGAGTTACCAATTACAAGACGACATGTAAGAAATTACTAAATTGAGCATGGTTTTAGTAGAGGCGTGATGGGAGAAGCCACCATGGAAGAAAGAATTCATACAGGTTGCTTGAAAATTGGAACCATGCTAAAATAAATTTTGTTAATAAAAAATATAACTTACTAGGACAAGACATGCACTGCATGTTCGGAAAAGTGGCGTTCAGTCCTAGCCTCCTAGGAATTGGGATAAATTTCTGGGAGTTATGAAATGTGTTGTCTGCATTTCCTCTCCATAGTTTCTCTGAACTTTTTTGGAGATAGTATAGTTCTTCTGAATTCTATATAGTTTAATATTTGAAAAAATTGTTCAAAACGTTCTTCACAATAATATGTCATTGAATTAAATTTATTTCACACATATATTTATGCATTATGAATTAAAATTTTCAAAACTTAAGGGGGCCATGACCTCCCATCAGCCCCTCTTGACTCTGTCATTGATTTCAACAGCGTCTCAATTCCAAAGTTGTAAAATTGTAAAGGAGCAAACAACTAATAAAAAAACACAAGTCTACACCAAGTTTGGAATTAACAACTGATCACAAACTTATAAGATTGATTTCAACAAGTTCACTTCTAAGAAAGACAAGTTTCGCTGAACTTTTTTTCGTAGTACGAATTTCACAAAATTCAATGGAGTTAATTAAACTACCAATATTGCTTTCATACGAAATTATCAAATTGAATGCATAATGTTTGTAACTATTTCATTTTGAAATCAAATAAAACATGCGATTACATTCATTTCTATCCATACATCATTCATTTTCTAATATAAATTTCTATTATTATTTCAAGATTCATCTTTCACAAAAACGTAGTTCTTGAATGATATACATATTTTATCATACTTTGAATTATTGCTAGACAAATCTTAATTTAATTATATTGGTACAATTTTTTTTACTTTTTTTAATTCACCTTCTCTTTTAATTTTTTTTTTAATAATGTCAGTGCCGTGCATAACACGGGCATTCACATTAATAATTACGTACTATCCAATATGTCTCCAGCAATGACCATGCCTATGCAAAATCTAAACATGCAACTTTATATCTACCGATTGCTTGTTTATTCTGTCCCATTTTTTTTTCTCTAAAAACTATCCGAAAGAAAGTGATTTTGACAATAGTGGTTTCGTTAGTCGATGGCATTTTGTGATAAAGACCACTCCTACCTGATAGGGTGTAATTTTCTCATTTATTTTATAATTAATTTCCCCTATTACCTGACCTGATGTGGATTAATTAGTAGATTCTACTCACTTCTCGTAATTTGCATTTATTTCAGGGAATAGAACGAAAATATGATAACAGGTGCCAATTTGACAGAAAAGGAGTCCAGATGATAGAGCTTGTCCCAGAGGTATTTTTGGAAAAGAAGATATTACGCCCATTTTGGTAAATTCCGCGAGGGAAGGACGGCTGGAGGGCTTCATTCTGCTGATGTGCCGCCGCAATTAAAAGAAAGAAAGGAGGAAGTTTAGGGGGCTGGTTGATTTTTCCTGGAGGATTTCTTTTTTGCTTTTCTTACGCATGGCAAGGAGAGCTTAGCATTTTTGTTGACTTCTTCCTTTGTCTTTTAGCTAGTTTTTTTTTTCTTACGCAGGGAGGATTGCTTAGGAGCTTAGCTTTTGCCTTTGACTTTTCTTATGTAACTTTTTGGTTTCCTGCTCCTTTCTTCTCCCGTGAATGTGATGAGCAAATTGGTAAAGCTTTTGACTTTAATTCCTTTCAATTCTTAGTCACTTTCTCTTTTTCGGATGTCGGACAAAAACAAAGACAATCAGTTGCCTCCTGTAGCTTGTTTTTCCGATTGAATAGAACAAATTGATTAGCCCAATTTTCCAGTCGATGGCCGCAGCTCATGCTTCAATTCCTTGGGGATTTTGTTTATCAAATATGAACTAATCTCCTCACTCTAGTCAAGGAACAATGGAGGCTTTGGTTCGATTAAAAATTGTACGATCGATTTAATTTTATCTTTCTCTCTTATTTATTGGTATTCGCATATTCCTTGATTGCTATACTTATGGTTATTTAATTAATTGATTGTCTTGGATCCAGATAATTAATTGATTTGGTAATCTTTTGTCAATTAGGGCATTAAATCCGTAATTGTTTAATTGTCCTGAAATAGTGATAACTGGCACGATTAGATTCGTGTCAGGGGGATAAGCGGGCTAATATGAAATAACCCTGGTAGTGCGTTATTTGATTAGAATAGAACTCCTCTAATACGTAAGGCAGTTGGGGAATTAAATCTTACGGGCGTACTTAGGATTATTTCCTAATTAGAGCAGTGATTAACGGGCGTACCTTAATCACCGACACAGTAAGGAGGGGTTGACTGCCATCGCTTGTTTGGTAGTTATAACCTATTTATTGATAAATAATTGAAATTGCCTTTGCATCGATGATCAATTAGGTGAACCATTGCTGAAGTTATTTCTTGGCTAGATCGTTAATTAATATTACCTTGATTTTAGTAAATTGCCGTTTGATTTTTAGTTGCCAATTTTATTTTATTTTTAATTGTCTTCTTGTTTTAATTGTTTTGGATTTTAATTATTGTTACGTTAAGTTTAGTGAATTGCTATTTAATTTCTAGTTAGTTAATTATTTTTATTTTCTTATTTGAATTTCTTTGATTGTCATCGTTTCTACAAAAACACCCCCCTTTGTTACTTTGGATTTCTTAAGAGACAAATATTCCTAATCCCTGAGGATACGATCCTACTTGCTCTGTCTACAAATTCATAATTATTTGTGAAAAAAAATAACCATCCCATTCCGGTATTCGGATCAAGCGAACTCTTCGGGAACAGGGTGAATCAAGTAACTCATTGCACACCTAGAGTCCCTATTCCAGTATTTGGAATTGGGTTATTGGTCACTTTAACTGGCAATTATATTTAATTTTATTATTGTACAGGTTTCGACACCCTGTCAATTTTTGGCGCCGTTGCCGGGGACTGGCATTATTAATTGTTTCTTTTTAAATTCAATTTTTGCTCTAATTTTCTGATATTTTTCTAGTGTATGCCTCGGTCTTCTCGTACAGGTGATTTGATTTTTGACCCTGAAGTAGAGAAGACCGCGCGTAGAACGAAAAAGGAAACCAGACAGCTCAGAGAGGAGCAGTCCAGTGCTGCATCTCAGAGACCTGAGTCAGAAGTTGAACCAACAGATTCGATTGGTGACACTTCGAGTGACTTTGACCAGGAGAAAGGCACCATGGCTAATGCACGAACATTAAGGGAGTTGGCTGCACCTGATTTAAATCAGCAGCCTATATGCATTACCTTCCCCACTTTAAATGATAACACCCCATTTGAACTAAAATCTGGTCTGATTCATCTTTTACCCTCTTTTCATGGTTTACCAGGTGAAGAGCCGTATAAGCATTTGCAGGAGTTTGATGTCGTATGCAATAGTATGAAGCCCCCGGAAATCACAGAAGAGCAAATAAAAATGAGGGCATTCCCCTTTTTCTTGAAGGATTCTGCAAAGGACTGGCTGTACTACCTGCCACCAAGTAGTATTACCACGTGGAACCAATTAAAGAAAAAATTTTTGGATAAATATTTTCCTGCGTCCAGGGCTGCGAGTCTAACGAAAGAAATTTGCAGGATCAAGCAACACCCAGGGGAGTCACTCTATGAGTATTGGGAGCGGTTCAAAAAGTTGTGCATCAAGTGCCCCCAGTACCAGATAATTGATCAGTTGCTCATACAGTATTTTTATGAGGGGCTCCTTTTCAGGGACAGGAGCATAATTGATGCTGCAAGTGGAGGGGCACTAGTGAACAAAACCCCTCGGGAAGCATGGAAATTAATTGAGGGAATGGCAGAGAATTCACAACAATTCGGTACAAGGGAGGATATCCTAATACGCAAGGTAAATGAGGTAGAGACATCTTTTATCCAGCAGCAGTTGACTGAATTGACTTCTTTTGTCAGGCAACTGGCTGTAGGGAACGCATCTCAGGCCAAGGTGTGTGGGATTTGCACTGGTATAGGGCACTCTGCAGACATGTGTTCAATGATTCAGAAAGAAACGGCAGAACATGTGAACATGGCTAGCCACGCGCTTGCGCCAAGAAAGCAGTACGACCCTTATTCGAGCACCTACAATCCCGGTTGGAGAGATTATCCCAACCTCAGCTATGGAGGGAATAGGCAGTCCAACTTCGTACCAAATAGGCAGCAAGGTACCAGCAGCAGTACCAGGCTCGCCAACCACCATCCCCTCCGAACTCGAGTTCGTCCATGGAAGAGATGATGAAACAGTTACTTGCGAACCAACAAAAGACGGATTCAGACCTGCAAATCATGAGGAATCAACTAGGACAAGTGCCATCATTGCAAAATCAAGTAAATCAAATGGCTATCACGATCAACCGTTTGGAATCCCAAATTCAAGGGAAGCTGCCATCTTAACCTGAGTTGAACCCCAAGAATGTGAGCGCCATGACCTTGAGAAATGACAAGGAGGTTCAAGGGCCTGAACCTATGATCCCTAAGAATAAGGATGAGAAAAATATCGAAAATGAGCTTGAGAGGGAGGACAGCAATGGTGCAGATCCAATGGTACTTTCAGATCCAGTAATTACAGTTAAAACTAACCCGCCTCCTTTTCCTAGCAAGTTGGAAAAATCAAAGAAGCAGGATAAGGAGAAGGAGATCTTGGAGGTGCTTCGCAAGGTGGAGATAAATATCCCCCTCTTAGACGCAATCAAATAAATACCAAAATATGCCAAGTTTCTAAGGGACTTGTGTGTCAATCGAAGGCGGTTGAGGAGAGATGAAAGGGTTATTGTTGGGAAAAATGTGTCTGCGGTTCTGCAGAGAAAACTTCCACCAAAGTGCGGGGATCCAGGTATGTTTACTATTCCCTGTAGGATAGGCAACACTATGATTAGAAAGGTCATGTTGGATTTAGGAGCATCAATTAATGTCATGCCTAAATCTATCTATGCTTCTCTGAAACTAGGTCCATTAAAAGAAATTAGGATAATTATTCAATTAGCTGACCGAACTAATGCATATCCTGATGGGTTGGTGGAAGATGTGTTGGTAAATGTTAATGATTTGGTGTTTCCAGCTGATTTTTACGTACTTGATATGGAATGGATGACGATCACTCACCTGATCCCTCACCTTTATTATTAGGTAGACCCTTTATGAGTACAGCACAAACAAAAATTGATGTTAATAAGGGTATCTTGTCCATGAAATTTGATGGAGAAATTGTCTATTTTAATATCTTTGATACTATGAAATATCTCTCAAACTCCAACTTTAGCTCAGTTTTCTCTGTGAGTGCTATTGACCCTGCGGTGCAAGAAGTGTTTGAAATTGTTGGTAGGGATGAGTTGGAGGTGGCTTTAACCAAGCACCTCGAGTTGGAGACAGTTCCTGGGGTGGAGTGGAACGAGGATCTAAAATGCACAATAGGTGCATTACACTTATTGCCGACCACCACAAAAAGAAATGAAGTCTTGCCTATTTTTATTCCCGAATCTCACCAGAAGGTATTGCCATCTGTGGTGCAGGCACCTATTTTGGAGTTGAAACCCCTACCAGAGCACCTGAAGTATGCATATTTGGGTGACAACGAGACACTCCCGGTGATTATCTCATCGGCACTGTCAAAAACCCAGGAGAAAAAACTGATCCGGGTCCTTAGAGAGCATAAAGAGGCGATAGGGTGGACAATCGCAGACATTAAGGGGATAAACCCGGCCATCTGTATGCACCAGATTAGACTGGAAGAGTATGCTAAACCTGTCCGACAGACTCAAAGGAGGTTCAACCCCCTCATGATGGAAGTTGTAAAGAAAGAAATTTTAAAATTGCTAAATGTGGGGATCATCTTTGTAATATCAGATAGCCCTTGGGTAAGTCCGGTCCAGGTAGTCCCAAAGAAGGCAGGAGTGACGGTAGAGGCCAACCAAACGGGTGAACTCGTGCCAGTGCGCAAACCCACTGGATGGAGGCAGTGTATAGACTACCGTAGGCTAAATGCCGTCACCAAAAAGGACTATTTTCCTCTCCCTTTGATTGACCAAATGGTTGAACGTTTGGCTTGTAGAATTTACTATTATTTTTTGGATGGATTTTCAGGATATTTTCAGATAGCAATTGCACCAGAGGACCAAGAGAAGACGACCTTCACGTGCCCGTTCGGGACCTTTGCCTATAGACGAGTGCCATTTGGGTTGTGCAATGCACCTGCAACTTTCCAAAGATGTATGGTAACCATCTTTTCTGAGTATGTTGAGAAAATAATTGAGGTTTTCATGAACGATTTCAGTGTGTAAGGTGATAGTTTTGATACGTGTCTAAATAACCTGAAATTGATCCTGATAAGGTGTATAGAGACTAATCTTGTGCTTAATTGGAAAAAATATCATTTTATGGTTGACCACGGGATTGTCTTAGGCCATGTTGCATCGTCTAAGGGTATTGAAGTTGACAAGGCGAAAATAGATATTATATCTGCTTTGCCTTACCCCGCGAGTGTGTGGGAAGTGCGCTCTTTTCTTGGACATGCAGGATTTTACCTAAGATTTATCAAGGATTTCTCGAAGGTTGGAGCCCCGTTGTTCCAACTTTTATAAAAGAATGTAGCTTTCGAATTTGATGACAAGTGTGAGAGAGCCTTCAACAAGTTGAAGGAATTGTTGACCTCACCTCCAATCATCCAGCCCCCTGACTGGAGTTTACCATTTGAGATCATGTGCGATACCAGTGATCATGCTGTAGGGGTTGTGTTAGAGCAAAGAGTGGGAAAGGCAGCTCACGTCATCTACTATGCGTCCCGAGCATTGAATGGAGCTCAATTGAATTACTCCACCACTGAGAAGGAGCTTCTTATGGTTATTTTTGCTTTAGAAAAATTCAGGTCATATTTGTTAGGTGCTAAAGTAATTGTATTTTCTGACCACGCAACATTAAGATACCTAATGACCAAGAAAGATGCAAAATCGAGGCTTATCAGATGGATATTGCTACTACAGGAATTTGACTTGGAGATAAGGGATAAAAATGGCTCAGGAAATCTAGTAGCAGACCATTTGAATCGCATACCAGTTGGAGAGGAGAACGAACCGTTGAAAGATGCATTCCCTCAAGAGCATTTATTTTCCTTAAATTCTCAATTGCCTTGGTATGCTGATTTAGTCAATTATCTAGTAACGGGTAATTTTCCTGCAGGTTGGTCAAAATCGAAGAGAGATAAATTGAAGAGCGACGCCAAGTATTTTATTTGGGATGATCCGTATTTATGGAAAAGATGTGCAGATCAAGTGATGCGGAGATATGCAAGTGAAGTGAAATTTCAATCGATTTTAGGTTTTTGTCATACTTTTGCATGTGGGGGTCATTTTGGACCCAAGAGAACTGCTCATAAGGTTTTAGAAAGTGAATTTTATTGGCTTTCATTGTTTAAGAATGCTTATGTGTTCTGTAAGTCATGTGATCGCTGTCAAAGGGTAGGTAATATAGCCCGTAGAGATCATATGCCCCAAGTCCCGTTGATTTTTATCGAAATTTTTTATGTATGGGATATAGATTTCATGGGGCCTTTTCCTACTTCATTTGGTTTTATATATATTCTGCTGACAGTTGACTATGTGTCCAAATGGGTGGAGGCTAAGGCCACTCGGACTAATGATTCGAAAGTAGTTGCAGATTTTATTAGGTCTAATATTTTTGTGCGTTTTGGGATGCCAAAGGCAATTGTTAGTGACAGGGGGACGCATTTCTGCAATAAGACCATACCTACATTATTTTACAAGTACAGTGTACTCTACAGGATCTCAACGTCGTACCACCCGCAGACCAATGGTCAAGCGGAGGTATCAAATCGGAAAATTAAATCCATTCTGGAGAAAATGGTGCAACCTGATAGGAAAGATTGGAATCAACGATTGGAAGATGCACTTTGGACCTATCGAACGGCGTACAAGACCCCCATAGGGATGTCACCGTACAGATTGGTATTTGGGAAGCCGTGTCACCTTCTAGTGGAGTTCGAGCACAAGGCTTTTTGGGCGATTAAACAATATAACATGAACTTAGAAGATGCCGGTGCTCAACGGAAGTTAGATTTGCAAGAATTGGAGGAGATCCGGAACGAAACATACGAAAACGCTTTAATTTATAAGGAGAGAAGTCGGACATTTCATGATCAACAAATTTCTAGAAAAACTTTTGAAGTTGGTCAGAAAGTTCTCTTATACCAATCCAGGCTTAAGCTATTCCCAGGTAAGTTGCGCTTCCGTTGGATTGGACTTTTTATTGTTACTCACGTGTTTCCATATGGTGCAGTTGAAATCTGGAGTGCTAAAATAGACAACAAATTTGTGGTGAATGGACACCGTCTCAAACGTTATTACGAAGGTTTTTCAAGTGGAGAGGTGGAGACAATAAGTCTTGACGTACCGCCGTGTTCTAATCAGTGACACTTTGCCATGTCTAGCCAAAGACATTAAAAAAAGGCGCTTATTGGGAGGCAACCCAATTGTTTCTTTTAATTGTATGTTTGATTTCTTGTGATAATTTAAGTATGTTTTCCTTGAATTTGACTGATTTCGGGTTTCAATTTTCGTTTTCGATGATTTGTAGGTGTCCTTCTGTCATGACGCGCCGCGTGATGGCGTATGGAGCGCTCACGGTCAGAATCACCAGAAAGGGTTCTTACTCTCATGACGCGCCCGCGTCATAACGTATAGAAAGCTCACAATCAGAATCGTCAGCAAGGGTTCTCGCCCTCATGACGTGCCCGCGTCAAGTCCTATGCAGAGCTCATGGTCAGAGAGTAATCTGGCAAGTCCTATGCAGAGTTCATGGTCAGAGAGCAATCTGGCTCTTATGACGTGCCCACGTCAGGTCACCCGGAAAGCTCCTCATGTCTTGCCTTCGTCACGTGCCCATATCACATTCGCGGGAAAGGTAGTATTCAAATCTTAAAAACAAAAAAAAAAGAGAGAGAGAGAGAGAGAGAGAGAGAGAGAGAGAGAACGGAAAAAAAATCAAAAATTTAAAATTTTAAAAAAAAGAAAAAACTAATAAAAATGATTAAAGAGAATTTTTAAATTCCAAAAAAAAATTTAGAAATAGAAAAAATAATTCTTTCTTCTCATCATAGCTTAAAGGGAGCACCAAAAAAAAAAAAATCTTTCTTTTTTTTTTTCCTTTTTTTCTTCTTCTTCTTCTTTCTTTCTCTTTTCTTTCTTTCTTCCCTGCTGCTCCACTTCTCTCTGCGCATGCCGACGC